GAGTTTGGCTGTTTGAAGAATAAAGAATTGAAGAGAAATGTTTGAAGTGATAAAGGCTTCAATAAAGAGAAACTATTTCCTCTGCTGGAGGAAGTCAGGACAAGGAAACACCATGTTCAAATTAAATCCTAGCCTATTCCTAGGTGCAGTAAGAAATACATTTTTGACGAAATGCAGCAAGTATCAGGAATGCTTTCTATCCTAAAATACTGCATTGTAGGGTTGATTTTTTAAGACTGGGATATCTACATTGCATAAGAGCATACAGGGATGAAGCATCGAAAATTAAGCCCACAATCAATTTAGTATCGTCAGTCAGGCTTGCAGTGTGGCATGCATGTATGTGTTGGAACCCATGCATTTTAATACACAGAAACCTATTTTTTGCAAACATAAACAACTTCACTCGTTTAAGATCAGCAGAAAGAGGTGACAGCCATTCCCTAGATCATTTTTCAGAGGAATGGCTTGACCAGTCAGTCATCCTGCCTACTGTAAAATGTGAACAAAATCTTGTAGTTATCTGTCAGTCATTATTAACTAGTTCATTTTCCATGGCAAAGCCTCTACCAAGCAGAGTCCATTTACCAACCAACCCTCCGTGACAATGCTGTGGCTTTGAGAAGTAGTTTTGTCCTTTTATTTGAAGAGAGGTTGTAAGGTAGAATTGGTGAACTGGCTACTTAAGACAATTTGAATAAACAGCTTGGGAAGCCTTGGGTATTTTTTTAAAAACACCTGAATGGCCGTGGCCAGTTCTCACAGATCCAGATTCCTGGGTTTTGGCTTTTTCAGTAGCATAAGAAGCTCTTGGGATCTCAAAAGAGTTGAAAGCTTCAGTGAATTTCTCCTGGCTGCTACACACTCTGCATTTTCTCTTAATGTTTTTTTCCCTCCTTGATTAGAGAACTGCATGTGAGAATCTGTATATGAATTTGCCTTTTTGCCAAGGGGTGTGTTTATGGGATGTTACTCTATTGGATCAGTTAATTAATAATATTTACTGTGTCTATTATTTGATTAAGTTTTCTAAATTCCTCTTTCTTTTGCTTGTATTTTAACTATGATGTTTAAATAAATTGTGTTTTACTTAACGTTAAGTAGTTTGAACAGTTGCATTGCATCTGGAACACGGCACTTCACATCTACCTTTAAAAGAAGAAAAGTTAGGTTCTAGACTACCTTCTTAGACTATTTTGAACGGGTCTGGTCTGGTCCATAACACCTCACACTGTATAAATATAGACATTCCCCTTGATTAGAGTTTCTTGGGAAGTGCCCTGATACATGCAAGAGAAAACACTTCCACAAAATTTTCCTTTTTCAGCAAGATTCAAGTTCTGAACCACAAAACAAACATTTGTCACCCCACTGATTAACAAGGGATACATTTACAATATTCCAATCAAATTGTTTAATTCCTGAACGAAGAAATATTTGACAGATTATAAAAATACCTACAATTTTCTCACCTACTTCTTTTAACACACTAAGGAAGATATGTCTATCTCATGGGTGGCAAACCTTTTTCTTAATCAAAGCCACTTAGTGTCAGAGGTGTACAGCACAGAGATGGTCCTTCAGCCCATCAAGTTTGTGCCAAATAAAAACAAATACCTAACTATTGTAATCCCATTTTCCAGCACTTGGCCCATAGCCTTGTATGCCTTGGGATTGCAAGTGAACTTCTAAATATTTCTTTCATGTTATGAGGGTTTCTTCCTGTACTGCTCTTAGAAGCAGTGAAGTCCAGATTTATATAAATTGATAAGGAAATATATAAAGTACAATTATTGTAAATGATGTTATATAAAAACATATATTTAAAGTGAATGAAAATTTATCTTCACCTTCATTTCATTGGGAATTCCAACCATGCAGTTTGCCCACCAATGCTGTGTAATCCAGTGTATGTATTGACAGAGCAACTCTGATGGAGTCAATGTTAAAATGAAGAGCTCCTGTAGTACTGCCACTAAATAGTTAACTGCAACTGGCAAGGCTACCTGCAATCCACATTATCAATTTAAATTTAAAAGGCCATGTACAAAAGTGACTTTAATTGCCCTGCTGCAGCACGCAACCAGCTACCTCATTGTATGACCTGATTATATGATCTAAATCTTGTAATCTATTGATTATCTCTACAAATTTTAGTGCCAGCTACTCAATGGCATTTGGCAAGCATGATCGACATATTGGTGACCCCTGGGTTACGTTCAGACTCATTTGCTCCAATGCAAGTTTTTATTTCTCGTATTAGATAAAGTAAGTTCCAATCTTTGATTAATATTTCGGTTCCCTTGTACTGCTGGTATCTTGTTCTCTTCTACTTGCGAAGACAGAACACAAATCTTGCAAATCTACAAGAGGCACTGATTTACATAGGCTCATACAGTCCAGAACTCAGTAACTGCCCCATCATATTCCGCAGCACAGTACTGTCTAGCAAAGGTTATCATACACATTCACACCATGTTAACATTCAATTCAATGCAACTGGAACCTTCCACTCAACACCCATCCCCCTCTCTCACACTTTCCCTGACTGACGAAAACCCACAAGTTGAAACCACCTATGCTGCACCCCACTTACTCGCTCTATGATGACCTGTTCAACCATCTACTGCTCATCTTCCGTCTCAGTGCTCCATATGGAGCACCCTCCCCGAGCAAGATCTACCAGTAAACTCCTTTTGATCAAGGAATGAGAAGCATAAAAAGTCACAAACAAGTACCTTGTGACAATCCCAATGCACTGAATGGCAGGCTCTGAACTTTGACAATGTGAATGGTTCTTATTAAACAGGTTCAGGACAAGCCAGGGCACCTGCAAAGCCAACGACCAGTACAAATCCCTTACACACTTGTGGAGAGACACAAACAATGCTGCATATTACCGAGGAGTGGTCTCATGACAAACGAAGAAGCAGACTAACCACCTTAAATTAGATGGCAGCTACTTGGCTCCAAGGATTTACATTCACTAAACAACAACAAAAACAAGTCTGCCATTTCCTTCTAATCGATTACAGAATCATCTTTCAGAGACCAACAGCTTGGTTTCTCCTCCCCTTATAATTACATTAAAAAGTTGCTGTCAGATTTTATTGCAAGTTAGTTTTCATATTCCTCTCCACAGTTCTTAACACTTTGTATTCTTTAGTTCTTTTTAAATTTCTCCTCTTATTTTCTGGTATTCTGTTAAAGTAGAAACAAACTACTGCGGATGCCGGAGATCTTAAATAAGGACAGAAAGTGCAGAAACTCAGCAGGTCTGGCAGCATCTGCAGAGAAAGAAACAGAGTTAATGTTTTGAGCCCAGAATGATTTTTCTTCGGAGTACCAAAATTCTGAGGAGAAATCATTCCGGTCAACTTTGTTCTCTCCACAGATGCAGTCAAACCTGCTGAGTTTCTCCAACACTTTCTAATTTTATTTCTGATTTTCCAGTTTTCTTTGTATTTTCTTTAAGTCTGCTGAAAAAAATCTAGTTCGTACTGGCCTTGGTCTCTTCTGGAATCATATCAAGAGCCCAACTAAACAAGCTCACATCTAAACATTTTAAAACAAACCATTCTGTTCTCAAGCATGTTCTTCCAGCATTTGAGAATTTCTAACATACCATGCTGAATGAACAAGCAGCGTCACATTCCTCAAAATTGTCAAAATTAAAAGGTATAAAATAATTATTACAACTGTTGCTCAAAGACCACATTTAAATTGGCAGGTGTGAAGTTAACAGAGGAGGAAGTTCTCTGCGCAATTACTTACCATTAGAGCAAGGCAAAGCTGATGTCAATACAAAGACAGCAAACTCAAAAACACAAAACTTCTCAAAATAGCAAAATTGAAGAGAATCAGAGAGAAAAAGAGAGAATATTTTCCTGTGGGACATTGAAGGCAAGGCATGGCTAGTACATATGAGAAAAAGAACTGGAACTAGTTGAAAGGATGTGGTATTTATAAAGATGCAGCAATGGGGGCGTATAACAAATGAGGTTTTTCAGAAACAATTCTAATGATCGAACTATATGTTATAACAAATATCCAGAGACTGGAAATGTTAAATGTTAGGTCCTGCAAAAAAAATCCAGCAGATTATTCTTCCAAGGTCTATAGAAATTACATTCACATTTGATATATCTGCAGGCTACTGGACTTAAGTAAATAGTAGCTTTAATAACCTAATGCTTGTTAACTCTACAGTCACTCTGATTGCCATCTGTTCACTTACTTGGAATCTCAGCCTCAGGTTTTAACAGCTTGACTACCCAATACCCCAACTGAGCAAACACAGATCAGCAAGGTGATCAGTCAAATAGCTCAATCTTACTACTTGCAACAACATTTTTTGTTTTAACAAAGACGGCTTTTATTCAGGAAGGAAAATTTTGTGCTAGTCATTGCCTGATGCAGATGCAATTCCGCCGAAGGCTTCACTGCACCTGATTCATCCTAACCAGTCTTGTTTCCAGCATTCTTTGGACACAATTCTCAAATTCTCTGCCATTTATCAGAGTGGGACAAGGGAGGTAGGAGCTCAGGTGACAACTCCATGGTAGGTCATGCACCAAATCTCCAAAAAAAGGTTTTATCAGGCAATATAATAATTATTTCCAATACTTGAGGAATAGCCAAATCTATATATTACTGTAATTCTGATATTCATCTTTGCTACTTATCTAACTGCTGTTAATCTTTTTAGCAGTTTATAGTTTAAGCTATAATCTGATGGTGTACTTCATGCAGGTGTACTCATAAATAGTACGTCAAAGTAATTTATTGCATGTGACTGTACTTTGACATTACTCTGAGAGAAGTGACAGGGAGTTTTATAAATTCAGTACCTCTGTTCCTCTAATTATTTTACGCAAAACATGTCAGTAGATTTAAGTAAAAGAAATAACAAACAATTGAAGTTTCTTTTTTTTTTACATTGCATTGCACCAATATTTATTTTGAAAGCCAAAATTGAAAGGTTAAAATACAGTACTTACTGCTTCTTTGATCTCACAGCAGAACACGTGAAGTTGGAACTCATCTGTACTGCAGTAACTTTCAGTAAATGCAAAGCAATTACTTTCTGCAGTCCCATTAACACCTCGGACACAGAATAACACTGTATATATTGGAAACGCAGCTATCTCAGTGGTCGTAGTCTGGTCTATTATCCTGAAGTAGAAAACAAAAAAAATAGGAATGTAGAACTCAGTGAACAAATTTGAAGTGTGAAGATTCCAGACATGACATCAATTAGTCTCTACTGGGGAAGACTGACTTTGCCTGTTTACAAAAAAGAAGCATTTATTCTAATTTGCAACAGTTTGCATGGTGCCTAATTAAACAGTATATTCTGTAGAATGATAGAATCTTACAATAGTTTAACAGGTCATCATGCCTGTGCTAGCTCTTTGAAAGAGCATCAAGTTAGTCCTACGCCCCTTACACTTCACTCAGTCCTCAAATTTCTTGTTTTCAAGCATTCTTTTTTGACATTAGTATTCTTATTAAAATGAGTCTTGCCTTCTAACATAGTAAAGAAAACAAAGCTTTAGGGCATCTTAGTTTAGGGTAGATGGATCAGGAGGCCTTAGAGATCATTTATTAGCATGATATTTCAGTTGCATGGGCTGATTCTCCATGGTCAAATTTCATAGGTGTTCAAAATTAAGAAGCCTGCTTATGCATAAATAAATAGAAACTGTTTCCATTCACCAGACGGACACCGTACTGGGGTAAATACCTGGAACTGCCTTCCCAATAACAGTGAGTACAGCAATTCACAAAGGCAGCTCATCACCACCTTCTCATGAGCACAATGCCCACATTCAATGAATGAATCAAAAGGTAACCAGAGGACATGGATTTAAACTAACCAGCAGATATCAGAAGGTTAAAAAATATACTTTACAACAATTTATGATGATTTGGAATGCACTGCCCAAAAGGTCTTGATTTAAATGACAATTTCATAGTCATCATTACTGACATTAGCTGAGAATTCCGGATTAATTTAAATAAATTCCCAACTGCCATGGTATGATCTGAATTCATGTCAGCTGACTATTCCAGTGAAATACCATAATACTGCTGTAAACCATGATTTATTGGCAGATTCAATCATAATTTTCAAAAGTGAACTGGATATATGAAAAGAACAAGAATGAAAAGCTAATGTTTTTAACCATCACCATAAAATTACTAAATTTGTCATATGTATCCAACTGGTTCGCTATTGTCATTTAGGGAAGGAAATCTCCCATCCTTATCTGATCTGCACCCTCAGCAATGTGGTTAAAATAAGAAATAGGAGGAGTAGACTATTCAGCCCTTGAAGCTGTTCTACCATTTATCATGACTGATAGAACTGAGATCTGAGCTTCACTTCCCTATCCACCTCAGAATCCCTGACCCCAATGACCACCAAAATTTGACAAACTCAACCTTGAATACATTCATGGCACAACCTCCATGATTCTGTGGAAAGGGAACTTCAAAATTTAACAACTCTCAGCAAGAAGAAATTCCTCATTTCAATCTTTAATGGAAGAGTCTTTATTTTGAAATTATAACCCCTAGCTGAAGACACGCCCCACCCCTCCAAGAATAAACATTAATATCTACCCTGACAAGTCTCCTCAGAATATTATAAAATTATAATGATTATTTCAATAAGATTACCACACATTCTTCTAAATTCCAATGAGTATATGCCCCTCAGTTTCAGCTATTCTCAGAGATAAGACTTTCATTTACTACCTCTTGACTATGGATGCCTCAGCCCCTTGTTCTGCTTGCTTTCTCACTACTTTCCAGCTAACTCTAAGAATTGATTTCTTCTGACGCAACACTCAGTAGGGCCGACTGTAGATTCTCCTACGAGCTTCAAATTAAAAGCTTCAAACATCCAGCCTGTTTGTTCACAAATTGAAACTTGAATCAACTCCCATCAGCAACATACTTGGCAAATCAAGACAGTTTTTTGAGCTTCTTATAATGCAGGTTGGAAATAAGCATTTACTTTGGCTGCCTCTTCGTTGGCTGGAAACCACACCAGGTCAAAGCTGCAACACCCTCAGCAAACACCTAGATAAAGCGAAACCAGGGAACTTTCCTAAGCTCTACCTAATTCCATGACAATGCAACTTACTCTAGGGATGACCTCAAATTGACCTTTAGATTAAGTATCCTATAGACAAAACACCTTCTTTGATGAACTTTACAAACTTCTGGATTAAATTAATTTAACGCTTTAAAGTAATTTAGTCTTAGCTCCCAAAACAAAAACATCTCTCTGGACTGCCCTTATAATAAGGATTGCAGACATCATGTCCCCACTGAAAGTCCACATACAGATACGTTGCTTCAATATCTGCATCTCCTGTTTTATGATCTTGCCTTTCAACCTTGCCTGTTAATTGCTTAAGCCAACATGGCTAAATATATGCAAATAACACAAAACTGCCCTCATTGCATTCACCCCAATTTTCTCCAGTTGAAACTTTCATTTCTAAAATGAAGTTATATATTAAAACACGTGAACCATGAATTTGACACTTGTAACACTTCCTAATTACTTACCCTACCTGCATGGTGACCTCTTATGATACATGCACCAGAATAACAAGTTTCTTTGTACTGCAGCATTCTGCAGTTTCTCTCAATTTAAACATTATAAGACCATAAAGCCACAAGACACAGAAACAGAACTGGGCCATTTAGTCCATCGCGTCTGCTCCGACATTTAATGTTATCATGGATTTCTGCTTTTCTATTCCTGCTAAACTCACAGTATCATACAGTATACGGAAGAGGCCCCTCAGTTCACTGAGTCTGTACTACCAAAAATACGCTAAATCTACTGTCCAGCACTTGGCCCATAGCCTTGAATTATACGACATTTCAAAGGCTGACCAAGTACAATTTTTAAGCTTGTGAGGTCACCTGCCTCACGCTCCTCCCAGACAGTGCAGTCCAGATCCCCATCACCCACTGGATGAAAAAGCTTTCCTTCAAGTCACCTCTAAACTACCTGACTTTCACACTAAAATTATATCCTCTTCCTAATGACCCTTCAACTTAGGGGAACAGCTGCTTTCAATCCACCCTGTCCATGCCCTTCATTCCCTTATACAACTCTATCAGGTCATCCCTCAAAGTTCTCCGCTCTACAGTAAATAACATGAGCCAACCCTAACCCAAGCTTATCCGGTCTCTTTTCATAATTGAAATACTCCATCCCAGGTAACACCTCCTTTGCAATCACATCTTTCCTACAGTGTGGTGACCAGAAAACTGCATACAGTACTCAAACTGTGGCCTAACCAAAGTTCTGTACAGCTCCAACATGTGCACTATCTGATTCTGTGACTTTAGCAGGAATAGAAAAGCAGAATATCTATGATCTCATTAAATGCCGGAGCAGACGCTATGGACTGAATGGTCCAGTTCTGCTTCTGTGTCTTATGGTTTTATGGTCTTATAATGCTTAAACTGAGAGAGACTGCAGAATGCTGCAGTACAAAGAAACCTGTTATCCTGGTGCATGCATCATAAGAGGTCACCATGCTCTTATAATCTATGCCTCGACTGATAAAGGCAAGAATCCTGTACTGCTTTATTAACATGTCCTGCCATCTTCAGGAATCTGTAGACAAGCACCCCAAGATACCTCTGTTCCTCTGAGCTTCCTAGTGTTCTTTTACATTTTTCATGTTATACTGACTTAATCTATCTCCTTCACCCTAACCTTTTTTTCATATCGTCAGGAAATTTGGCTACATTGCTGCCTGTCCCTTCACCAAAGTTATTTACATAGATTGCAAACATTTGAAGCTCCAGTGCAGATCCCTGCACACCCCACCATTCGTTTGTTATGAATATTTTGACCAGTCAGATCGACAGGAATACTGAAGGTTTGTGTTTAGGGAAAGTGGGGTAAGTGAAAAGACAAATAAGAGAAACAAAGAGGAACTATGAGAAAAGACTAGCAGCTAACATAAAGGGAAATACTGTCTTTTGTAGGCATATAAACAGTAAGAGAATGGTTAACGGAGAAATAGGGCCAGAGACCAAAAGGAGATTTACAAGTGGAGGCAGGGCATAGCTAAGGTGTAAACGAATATTTTGCACCTGTCCTTCTAAAAAAAAATGCTGCTGCTGCCCAGGTCACAGCGGCATCAGAGGAGACATCAGTGTCACCAGAAGTTTTCAAAATCAATAAGGAAGAAGTTTTAGATAGACTGTTGACACTCAAAAGATGACAAGGCACCGGGTTGGGATGAGATGCATCCAAGGATTTGAAAAAAAGTGAGGTTAGAAATTGCAGGGGCACCGGCCACAATCTTTCAATCTTCCCTAGATTCAGGGAAGGTGCCAGTAGACTGGAGGATTGCAAACACTTTGGCCTTGTGCAAGATCGCCTTGTAAGGATAATTCTAGCAATTATACTCGTCAGTTTAACTTTGGCGCAACTTATTGAAACAATTATTTGGGATAGGATTAGTATTCACACGGAAAAAATGGGCTCATTAGAAAGAATCAGCCTAGATTTCTAAAGGGGAAATCATATTTAACGAACATGAAGCATTTTGAAGAACTAATGCCATAGCAGCCACACAAATCATCTTCCATTTCATCTGGAGTTAAAGATGGAGTGTGACCACAGGGACATAATGTACAAAACTGGATTGGGGGTGGGGGGTGCTGTGGGGAGAGAGACTGGATAAAGAGGTGGAGGGGGGAGAATGCACCCCAATGCCATCCTCTTCCTAACGGCCACTTTTGTGTGCAGCTGCATCAAGCTGTGCGTAGATCCTTGGCACGCAAACACCAAGTGTTACTGTGTACCAGGTTTTACCTGTCCCTGGTGTTGCAGAGGATGGGTCTGGCCTCAGTGTCGTGGAGCACTGCAAGTAGTTGGACTGTTCCATATCACCTGCCCTTCATGGAAAAGTGTGCAAAGAAAAGCACTTTTGACCACAAGTCCATCAGGAAGTGGTCAGCACACAGCGTCTTCGATACCCTGCAGGAAAAGGAGAGGGTGGGTCCTGTCACATAGTTCCCTGAGCAGACTGTCAAAGTCATTTGGCAGAATGCCTCATCACCACAACTTTCCAACATGCACCGAGACATCACTTGACTGGTGGTGAGAACAGCACTATCAGTGAGAT